GAAAGATAAGTTCCTGACTGAGCATTCAGCTAAATGTCTTAAGCACTACTTTGTATTTACTGTAACATGGCTGTAGTCTGCCCTATGCAGTGAAATGTCTCCTGCAGGAAACTTAGGAAATCATATCTTATGATTTTGCCAGATTCTTATACTCATTTGAAAAGGCAATTTTCATTCTACAAGGAAAATTCCAGTTTCCATTTTGTACAAATAAATAAGAAATGGAAAGTATTTACTACTTCCATCTGCTTTTTAAATTTCCAGAACCCCTATCTAACAAAACCACCCACTATATTACAATATGTACAATATTCTGTGAGACTAATATAGGAATGACGCATATTTTTTTCTTTGTATCTTCATGACAGCAATAACCAAAAAAAAAGATGAACTTTGACCTCTTCAATTAGTACCTGTACATTATAGAAACTTAATCCTTCCCAAGCATTGAACATACTCCTACAGATAAGGTAAAACTAAAGGAAATAGAACTAGTTCTAAACAATTAGAACATGTGGTTTCACTTGACATAGAACTTATGGAAATTAGAGAAACAAATTTTTGAAAATAAATGCATTTCTCAAAGCTGTGGCAGAAAATTTCTAACATTATCATAAATATGCTAATTTGACTCTAACTTAGGCTTTCTTATTTTATAACTTTTAAATGTTTTCAAATTAAACTACTCTAGATAGTTTAAAAGGAAGTTTTTTTGCAAAAGGACCTCTAAAATTACTTAAAATGATAGAAACAGCATTTTTGGTGCTTACTATTTCTACATGATAGCATTATTTTTCATTGTACACTAAGTTTTTTTTTTAAAAAAACAGCAAAGTATAAGGTATTCACGTATAGAAGGATAAGGAGCTGTCTATTTGTAATAGTTTTTTTTACTTTATAATGTTGCCACTTTATAATGTAAATATATTTATGCTACATTTATTTTATGACTAACACTGGAGTAAAATGATATTCATATTCTCTGCTACCACAGTTTATCTGATAGTCAATCCAAAAGTAACTCTTGGAGATTTCTCTTGAAATGACAGAAGCTACTATATTTCCTTCAAACTGAGATGGTCAAATTTCTACTTTAAAGAATAAGCACACTTAATGGAGAGATTTGAATCTAGTTTACAAAAATACTATGAAAAACACTGATCAGTCCTAGTGGAGTTAACGATACCAATCTATACCCACCTACCTAAAAAAGCAGTGATAATTATGCCATTCAATTATGTAAGATTAGGAACTAGTTCACCTTTAGGCAAACACTCAGAAACAACCAATAAAGACATTGGAAAGATAGAAACTTTATCACCCTGTTACATCCAAAATCATATGAAAATATGATTTCAATGTATGTAGAAGTGCATCTTCTTAGACTAGGAACACCCTAGTCTATCCATGATTCATACTAAAACACTTATTCCTAAAGACCTAAAAGGAGAGTTAAACTCTCACTTACTTTGCCTTTGCATATTCTATTGAAGAACCATTTTAAAAATCATCCACATTATCATTTTTTCTTTGAAAGGAACTTTTCACCGGAATACTCCCAAGTGTCAGCTAATGTCTCTCAATCTAATCTTTTTAGAAAGTTACATAACCTTGAAACATGTATATATACATATATGCACATATATATTCTTAATGCTAGTTGAGTTTACTTTTGACTATCATATGCTTTATTTCTATTTAAATGGCTTTTGTCAATTTCAATGGGAAACAAATTCAGCCAGAAAGTAGCTCTTATCTGTGACTTTGTATAGAAGTATTTATGACAATTATGATATCATTTAAAAATTAAAAATAAAAATGAATTAAATATTTAATTTTTAATTACAAAACCTATATTATACTATGGCAGAAATTCTAATTTTGTTCTTGCTTTTTTGCAACATTAGACCAAATTTACTCCATTATGTAATCAAACTGTTTATTTTTGTTTTCCCATCCGTAAGTCACTTCATCACTGCCATTAGGTAAAGAAATATTATGTTCCAATTTGGAATTAATGATCTCTCTTCCTGGCTATTGCACAAACTGGAAATCACAACATCTGGAAGCATTTTAAACTCATAATTGTCCATGCTGTGTGTGAATTCTTTAAGATTGGTTGGCTCTAAAAATCTGTTTTGGGACTTGCTGTATAACTGATTTAATACACTGATTTCAAAATGCATTAATTATGTCATGGTGTCATTATGCTAATAGGAAGTTCAAGTTAACTTTCAGATTTCTAATGCATCTACATTTTATCTATTAATCTTCCAGTTCATCTTTCAAAAATAAATTACAATTTTTTTTAGTTTTATTTGAGGTTAGCACTAAACCTAATATGCAAATCTTGTTATGCAAATATCATGTTTTTCATGTTCATTGCTTGATAAGAACTATCTGATAATTTGACCAATAGAATAACTGATATTCTCTAATATGAAATAAAGCTCAAAACTGTCCTGCAGTAATTCTGTATTGTGTAATTTTTTTTGTGTGGAATTAGTATTTAGGCTGTCTTCTGCAGAGTAGCAATCTTTAGCTCTCACAAAAGTACACTGAATTTCAATAATATATTTGCCATGAAATGGCAATAAAACTTACTAAGACAGTCTTTGAAAAGGAGGCCAGAAAAAGATTGTATGAAACTCTTACACTAGAACATATTTGTAGGATGACAGATTAACTATTTCATAATACATCATTTAAAGTCTCTCCTCAATCTACTCACTATTTATTGTCAACAGTTTCTGACTTCCAGTATATAAAGGTTTATTTTTTTATGTGAACTCTGTGAAAAATTAAATACACATATACATCTCTTTCATAAGTCATTGCTATAAATAACATTGCCAAAGAGTCATGAAAATAAATGTCACAAAGCAAGCCCAAACTTTTTCCTTTTCCTAAGACCATGGAGAAATAAGCAAAATCTTGTTTTGTTAACATGGAAAACAGTTGGTTTCTTTTTTGTACATCTTTTCATGTCTGAACTTGTTAATTCAGTTATATACACACACAAGGCAATTAAGTGATTGTCCTTTTGTCCTTGTAACCAAAAGGTGGCACCTCTTAAAACTAGAGTTAGCTTTCAACAGACACACTGCATTTTAAAAAGGCATTTAATTGTCAAAGCCCCAGACGGCATTCTTGCTTTTGTGACTGTAGGTAGTTTTACTCAGATAGGAAAGGAAATTGTCTCAAATGAAAAATGATTAAGAATACATTGATGTTGAATGAATCCAACATATGCTCTAAGTTGGTGTATAAACTTAAGCACTAACGTGCATGTTGAGAAAATGTTTTCTGGTGTATACAAATTAATGGGGAAGGTCAGACAGAGTTGAGAAAGAATTAGCTTCTTTTCCCAAGTAGACATATAGGAAATAAACAAGGAATGGCATTTTTCCTGACGGATCAAAGGAAAGGTTTTATCTGGAAATTAGAATCTCCTGAGTGAGATTCTCTGAACTCAGGTAGGACCCACATGTATTTCAACTAAGAACTACGTCCTCCCACCTGACAGCTATGGCTCAGCTGTCTCTGAGGAATAATAATAGCAAAGGAAAGCTGATGATGGAATTAGAAATTGCTGAAGGCGCCTAGAAGGCTCTGTCCAACAAGTACTTTTTCTTAACATATTATGCAGGCAGCCAGGACACGTAGTTGTGTTGTTATACCTTTTGTAAGCTACAAGAACAAAAATATTTTTTCTAAGATTTTTGTAAAATTTGAGGTTATCATCCTACCATTACTTTCTAAACTTTGTGCCAATACAAGAGAATTATTGACCAAATGAGGTTTCCTGTTTCTTTGAAATGAGTGAAATTGAATCAACATCATGTTTACATCAACTAAATATTGTTATTAAAATAAAACAAGGCCGGGCATGAATTTGATGGTCAAGCAATGAAATACAGACAGTGGAAAGGTAGAATGAAATGGCAATTCATTGCAAATGAGCTTTAAAGCAAAAGTTTAAGGGTTTCTTTATCTTACCAACGGGTTAATACTCAAGAAAGTGAAAATCAACATGTATACAAAGCTAACTAGAACATTAGTTTCCTCAAAGTAGCATCCCAAATCTCCTGATAATACTGGTGTCACATGTTTTCAAACTTCACATTTTTGCACTTCCCCAATCTAAAGATCATATCTAATTTAGTTTTTTTTTCCTTTGCTGGAAAAATCCCTCAAAGTTCAGACATTACCACTGATGTGCAATACTAAATAGTCAGCCCCACAGGACAGATGGAAACAGGAGTAGTCAGATGGTTGGCACTTAAAAGCAACAACAATTAAGCAGTTGAAAGTGGGTTAGATTGTTGGTTTATTTTTGTTCCATTTGACCAAACCAAGTGAGAGACACGGCCTCTTGCAAGGAGAACAAGTCAAACTTGATGCTTCCCCTTTTTGATAGCCCAGGATGGAAGGCTGTCTACTCTCCTTATTCAGTTCCATTGCTTTCTGTATTCTAATTTTCATAAGGTTGTATTCTATCTTGTTTTCCCCCTCCCATGGCAGAAAAAAAAAATCTCCTTTCTTTGCCTCTTCCACTGTACACCCGCCCCCCTCTGCTTTCCCTCTGAGAAACGACAATCCTCTCTAGGAGAAAAGCAAAGCGAGTGCGTGATTAGGGTGGAGGAGAGTGAAGATAAAAGAAAGATTAAGGAGGGAGGGAGTGAAGAGAGACGGAGAGGGGTTGGGGGTGGGGGACGGAGGGGAGAGATTAAGAGAAGGAGCGAGGGAGCAAGAAGATGGGGGATGCCCACATTAACTCTAAGCTCTAAATCACAGGCGCTGTGCAAAGTGCTCTTCCAGGAGCTGCACATGTGGTCTTATTATATTTCTCACAATAGGCCACCCGGGGCTCCCTCCCCAGGTCTCAGTCTCTCACAACCAAAATCCAAGTGCTCCTAGAACACTATCTAGCAAACGGATTCAAGCAAAGAGACACCCCGGAGGTGGCCGCGCAGTGAGTCCCAGTCCCGCTGCCTTACCTGGAGGGAGGATCCGGAGGTGGTGCTGGTCTCTGTCTCCACTGTTCTTCCAGCGGACCCGGGGTGAGGCACACGTCCTCTCGCCGCCTCTGTTCTTGGAGGGGCAGTCTGCAACACAAAAGGGGTGTGTGGGTGTGGGTGTGTGGGAGGTTTTCCAGGGCCACCAGCTGGTCCCAGCTGGCCGCCCCCACCCTACACACACCCCTCCGGGGCGCTGAGCCCCCCTCTCAGCAGAGCACCACCCTGGAGGGCTTGCCCTGGGTGTAGCCTCAAGTTGCTTCTAAGTGCTGCTGCAGCTGCTGCCACTGCAGGGAGAAGGGGTGGAAAGACACTGGGGGCTGTACTCGGGCTAGAGCATCCCCACACTGCAGCTTCTCCAGGAATCCCTCCAGTGAGGAGGCGGCCGCCCATCATCTCCCAGCCCTGGCCGCCTGATTGGTTCCACCTCCGGTACGCTGCGCCCAGGAGCCAATCCGGACGCACTAATAATAGGTGGATCCGCTCAGCCAACAGCGCCCATCCCAGTTCTGTTAGTGTCTCTCCATCCCTACAGCGGACGGGGACCTGAGGAGGGGGGTCGGGGGGGGGTGAACTAAGAGGGACACAGATCCCAAGGAGACCCAAAGAAGGACGTCCACTAAACCCTCTGCGTAGGCTCAGGGCTACCCCGCAACCTGTTCGGCAAACCATATGCACAAAGAGAAGAAAACAGCATAATACAAAGCTATTTTCTTTCCTTTTTTTTTTTTTTTTTTTACTTTCAATCAAAAGCTGCCCTGATACTGAGCATGCCCAGACTGCAACAGAGCTCTAGGAGTTCTGATGTGTGGGGTTCGCTGGCTGTGGATTTTTGAAAAGGTGGGAGCCGCGAAGGAGAGGCAGAAGTTTGTCTTTGGTCATTTGACCCAGCGGAGTTGTGAAAGCTGAGCAGGGTGGGGATACAAATGATTCTACACAAGTGTCCTCAAACTGAGCCACAGGGAGGTAGCCCTCTGGGATCTCGGAGGCTAATATTATTATCCTCCGGGGTTCAGCAGTGGAAGCTGGGGGTAGGGGCGGGGGAGAATGGTCTGAGCCTTGTTTGATGCCTGCAGACTTTCCTGAAGGGTGCGGCGAACCAGAGATGCAGGAGAAGCGCTGTCCCATAGGTGGGGATGGGGAGCGTGGCTCCACCCAGGAGCGGAGGCTGCCAGGCAGTGGAGACTGCACTGGGAGTTTCCATTACAGAGACCAGTAAGTTTGTAGACTTGAGCCAAGTGCGACACTGTTGGGGGCGCTGATTCTACCAGCCCCCTCCCCCATCTTTCTCCACGCTGGCCTGCGCAGTGACGAGGAAAAAGCGTGGGCTCCCTCCCTCCTCTTTCTCTTTCCCCTGAACCATTATGCTAGGAAGTAAGAAGCTTTTCCCTTGTGAGAGCGGTGCTGACCTGATTGTCTCTAAGCTCTGGGGCAATTTATAGCGTGGTAATACTGAGAGATACCAAACGGGGAGGTTCAAGCTGTTGGGGGAAGGGACCGCAAGCTAGGCGGACTTGCAGAGTCTAACTCCTAGTAGAGCAATTCCATTCTCAGCTCCACAGGTGAAAAGGCTTTGAAATGCAAAGTATTTCTTTCTCACTCCCTTGACCCCATTTAAAGGACGTTGAGCCTCTGATTTGCTTTGCTTAGAAACCCTAGCAATGAAGTCTAAACTTGATTTATAGCTACACAAGAAAACTCTCCTAACTGGGCTCTTTATTTTACTGAAAAGGTTCATCATGGAATCTCAGGTAAGGAAATAAATAGATATCTAAGTTCCACAAACCGTCTACTTTGAACTGGAGTTTCATTAACAAAGGTTTGCAAAAGTAACTGTAGCAAGAATTCAATTAACAGTAACACATTTTCTTCAAGTTGTAATTAAATTTCTCCTATTTATGTAATGTTTAAGATCAAGATCATTATTCTAGATGTGAGAGAAAAGAACGCAGCCTTGATATAGATGGAGTCTTTTTGTGACAAATACTATATTATTCCCCCAAATTTTAACATTATATGAACATTCACCTTGCATTTTTTATAATCTTCCTAAATTTTTATGTTAGAAGAGTTTCATAGTTAGAATAAGGAAATAATTGATTTTCATTAAAAATCAATATTAAATATCTGATGAAGAAAAAGAAGAATCTATTATCCTTTTCATAGTTTCCCAATAAATGTGTTTGTATGAGAGGATTAATATGTCCACCTAGTAGAGATCTTTATTATAAAAATACCCTAACACCTTTTGTAGATTCCAGAAATTAAAAACATTTAATAGCTGCATCCAAAATTGCATACAGAAACAAGTAAATTTATTTTAGAAATTAATAAGTAGGATATAAATCCAGATTAGTTATCTCTGTTCCAGACTCTAATCCTATTATCAATATTTCACCTCATTTATCTTCCTGTCCATCTTACCTCCTACTCAACAATCACTTTCTGCCAGTGGTCAGAATCATAACCCATGTGAATGGTGTTAGATGTTTCTATTCCAAAATTCCTTGAGAGAGACTGCTGGCTAACTAAAATAGGTTTTACATGTATATTGTGATTAAATTTAAAATAGAATTTCTACTGATGAATATTAAGAAGACTTACACATATACCTAGTTTTTGCTAGACTAAGGTGTTTATTCTTGACAATTCTTAGTTTTCCTCAATCTGGAAGTAGTCTCAAGCATTCTACCAGGTCCTACTGGATTGATTTATACTCTTCTGTTTCAGAGTATAAATTGTCTTCCTGCCCTTAAAAGCAGACTATTCTCCATTTAAAGAAATACCAAGTCAATCTCTCATTGTTTTCACTCCATTTATTAGGTACTTTTTAATCTAGAATTGCTGCTACAGAGACTTAACACCCCTTGGTTGTGTGGCATTTGAAAAAGTATTTGTTGTTTTCATCTATTTTGTTTAATGTTTTTCTCAATCTTTGCTAAAAACACCACTTTTGTTTGTTTCCAAGTTTTTGCTTTGATTGATATTTTTCTATATTCATTTTTTCATTAGATTCATCTGCTTACTACCTTAACATCCCCTTTACCATCTATCTTAGACTGCAATGTCAGAATAGAAACTAAATAGGATTGGGGAAAGGAAAAGAAAGTGTGTCTTGTAGCAAGAGAGGGGAATCAAGTTTAAAAACTAGAAATTCTTTAAGTACAAACTTCACCAAGATTTCTCTAGACCACAGAAGTAATACCTATTTGAGAAAGCAACTATGAAAATTTTCCATGTTGGTAGAAAGACAAGTATTTACTGGTTGATCAGTGGTAGAAGAGCTTCATTTAATCAAGGCTCTTCTATATCATTACAAATTATATCTTTAGTCCCTCCCTGGTGGCATAGAATGTTAAAGCACAGCACTGAGAAGCTAAAGCCACTTTAGCATGAGTTCACTCCCTGCCCCAGTGGTGACCCACATGGTACAGCAGACCTTTTCTTACCTGCCAGCTGTTCCCCTCAGCAGTGTACTTCATCCATCTGCCTGTTCTGCTCTCCATTCTGTCGCTGGTGAATCCTCTCACTACCCCTGCAAATCTGGCTTGTACCCCAGTTCTGTATGTACAAATAAATAAATCTTTGAAAAAATATATCTTTAATAGCCACACTTTTTACTTATAGTGTGGTAAAAGTTGTTCATTATATCATTACACAGGAGTTGTAAAAAAAAATTCTAAATTTTGCCTATTCTTTGTATAGATTTATATGTTATGCTTTTTGTTTTATAATTATACTCTGTCTTTGCCTTTCCAAATATTTTTCTTTCCAGAGGACGGATAGTTTCTGAGATGAAAATGTTAACGGAATTCCAGTTTTACCACTGTTTTATCTTGAAAAATGTACGCAACACCACCGAACACCAGTTTTTGCAACTATAATATGTATATTTGGACCATTGTATATTCTTAGGTATTCACTGTGTAGATTAAATAAACCAATAAACATACAGTGACAGTTCTAAGCGCATAGCCTGGGCTTAATATTATTGCCTTTATATCATTATTAGTGCTGCTACTACAACAACTATTTTTTGTTTGTTTAGATTCCTAAGGAACTGAATGTTTTTCCAGCATCCAGCCCATTTAAGCCAATAGTGAGGTATATGCTCTTCAGTTGTGAGCACTGGAGTAGGAGAAAATTGGTTTATGTTATAAAAACTTGTCTAGGTATCAAACATCAAAACTACCTATCTAGAATATGTTGCTCTTAAACTGTGATTTAAACTGTGATCTTATAGATGATTTGATTTTAGAACATGTGCTCATAAGTATTGTTTCACACTAAAATTTAGTTTTTATTATCTTTAAAATTAATACCAATGATAAAAAAAGTGATGAACATGTATTTGTGCTTTCTGGCAAGTGGGGAGCTCCCCACTTGTTTTAAAGACACTGAATGATAGCAGGACCATGCATTTTGGTATCCCTTCTGATCAACTCTCATGATCAGTTAGCTTGGCAACACTGCTAATGATTTTATAGACAATCGGTAAGAAAAAAAAATAGATCTTTCTGTATCAGAAGTAGATAAAGAGAGAGATCAGTCACATGGATTTTTAAATGGGACACTCATGGTGCTAAATGAAGAGAACCTAGAGTTGAGAAAGGGGGAAAAAGAAAATGGATACAGATGAGCATAAAGTCTCTAGGGCAGAGTGTTAAGAGTTCTGTAATTGAACTACAATACTTTACAATTTCCAAAGAAAAGAAAATAAAGAGCTAGCAGTATTCAATGTGGCTTTATAAAAGCTTTTCCTTAAAGTTATGGCTAAGAAAATATTGGAATAGAAAAGGAGGACAGTGACTCAAAAAGTAATATACTGTGTCAGGCTGTTGAGGTTAGCAAGGAAAATATTATTTAGGTGAATCTATCTCAAGGGCAAAATATAAGTAGTTGAGCTGATGTTAGCCAAAGGTCTTAGAAAGAAAACAAATGATGTGTTTTTTCAAATACTCTATTATACAAGGGCTATACTGTACTGGAAAAAAGTTTTCTAATAAAGCAAGAGGAGCATTACATTTTATAGTAATTCTCTTTAAAGTCAGAGGGAGGATTTATATTCAACCAGTGTACACAGAATCATAGTTTGATTGCTTCATTCACCTTATATGAAAAGTGTGTCCAGAGAGACATTTATTTACCAACAACTACAGCCTCATCCAAAAGGGGATAGACTGTGTGAGACTCTTTTCAACAAGCTAAAATATTGGTTCTCATTCCCAAAGTATTCTAAATTTAATTGTATTTTTTTTTTAATTGAGACCGTGCTGATTCATAATGGTGCATATGATTAGGCATATGATTAGGGAACAGGTTCACATTTCTTGAAATGTATGTTATCACACCACGTCCATTACCAAAGCACCAGTG